GAATTGTAGGCTCGTTAAACGAGAAGCTGTTTAATATAATTTTAAGGATATAATAAAATTTGGTCTGAACGTGCCTCACGATAAATTTTGTTACATAAAAAAATGTAATTTACTCCTCGAGCGTAGAATGTAAATAAAATAAATTCATCGCCAAAACCGCCGTTTGGATGTTTCCCCGGGCATAGACTTCCTTGTTTACTTCGTGACATTGGCCATTCAGCAAGATGCAAAAATAAACGTAACAATGCCCCCTTTTGCATCCGCTCAGACACATTTCTCACTCAGACAGATTTTCAGGCGTGGTCGTGAAAATTACCTCATTTTGGCGTTTTTGAATTATATTCGTTAGTTATTTGTTGTTTTCCGGAAATTTAAATATAAATAAAATAAGTCAATGATCACTTTGTCTTCCCGGAAGTTTCAGTTTATTTACAGTAGGCAAAAATTTGGTGTAGAAATATCTTTGATAGACCAGGCTAAAATTCTTTACTGGTACTTTTTAAAAGAAGATTGTTGAAAGGTTTGGATTAGATTTTGGAATTATAGTTTGAAACAAATACCCCGTTTTACAGGCAGCAACTCGCAAAACCACTCTTAAAATACGCACAGAAAATTTTAAAATGGTAAAGTATAGGGAAAATGTTCCGATAATTTTACTCCGGCCGCCGTATTTTACCGACCACTGGGATACGGAAACGACCGTATCTTACTGCGAAGACGAGTCCAGCAATCAGATCGCGTGTGATAATCGCCTACGTAATTCAAACATACGAAAGCACGCAGAGTACAGTAATCAAGTGCACGATGCGCCGAACAAAAACAGGTTTCTAGAAATCGCCCTCCTATCACCCCCTTCGACTCCCCCCCCAACCCCCCCCGCCCCCTCTGTAGCGTTATCGCCCACCGGGGGGCGATATCGCCCACTTTGGGAATCACTGCTCCACACTACATAATCACATCAATATTTTAACGAGAATATCGGTTGGAAACCTAAGACTTATCGATCGATAGTTAGGGGATCCCCCAAAACAGAAACTGCAGATTCGATTCATCCGCTCTTGTAACTTGCGCACTGCGCATCGCGCTGACACACTCGGCGGGTCTCAAAATTCTCTCGCTTTACAAAAATCTATATCAATAATTGATTGATAACTCGCTAATTATACGACATAATTCGTCCAAAATCAATAGAATTCTGGTCCGAGATAAGATGAATGCAGATGCAAAATCTGGAGCAGATTCAATCTTGCTTTTGTGAGATATCTCGTGCATCTAACAGACAAACATACAGACATACAAATACCTATCAACATACTGACCGATTAAAATCGATAAGTAATAACGTTAAGAGCGCTAGACAGCTCACAATACCGTTATTTTTTATGAAGAGCAAATATTTTAATATGGCGTAATACGGCTGATTCAGGACCTTAGAAATCCCGGTTTGGGGCTTTCTCAATCTCAAACGCGGGTTTTACTTTCTCCCGAAGTGATGCGTTTAATGTTGTATATTTGCAAATAACTAAAACACCCGCCCTTCAGTTAAGATCACACTCAAATTGTTACTACTTATTGCCGAATGGTGATTTCAAAAGTTTGAATAAACTAACAGTGAATAACTACCAGTGAATTGGTATGTATGGCTTTATATTGTACTTCAAGCTCGTGTTGAAACGGTTTCGAATTTCAACAGAAAAACTCCAAAACTAGGGTCGTACGACCGGGTAACGGAACTCCGGGTGCCGCGGAATCCTGGTTTAATAACCACTGCCTTACAGGTTCACTCCGAACGACAACGAATTATTTGTCATAACGGTTTCTCTTTTTAAGATCCCATTATTAATATTTTCTATGCTACAAACCTGCATGACGTAACATCCTTAGTGAACCGCGGCAACCTAGGTCATGCCCCCTCTCCCACACGACGTAATAACAACACTCATAACGGTGTTTGCGGGATATCCGAGATATAGGGTGTCCATAAAATCTTAAAAAAAGTGCAAAAGGAATTTATCGATACCATATATTGTTTTGGCCCTCACAAATGTATTAAAAGAAGTAAAAATACTTGAACAATCACTGATTAAAAACAACAAACGTGGTTAGGATATATTGAGACTGACTGCATAACAAAATTAGAATTGTGAAGGGACTCTATGTACACCATGTATATTCACAAACCTAATCCAGGATAGTGATATAAGTGTGACAAAGAGGGAAATGAAATTGTTTCGAGAGACCTGGAAAATTATACATACTACAATAATAATAATATTCACAGCGATATATTAATACTCAGGGAGATATATATTCCAATCGCTATGAAATATATACGCCCCCCTTATGATTTCCGATTGGTCGATCACTTCCTGAAGTCGAGAAACGACAAATTTTTTGCACCTAGAGCATAATAATAACATGTAATACCTAATAGTCCCATCACAGGTTCGACGGATGCGTTGGATTGTGCTAAACTAAACATCAGAACAGGATTTCAACTTTGGTCGGGAATAGTACTACACGCCAAGCTTTTTTGAGGGAGGGGGGATTAATTTTTTAATATGACGTAATACAGCTGATTCGGAACTTTAGCAACCCGGTTCGGGGCTTTCTCAGTCTCGAAAGCGGGTATTTTTCTCCCGAAGTGATGCGTTTATTGTTATATATTTGTAAACAATGAAAATGCGGTAAAAAAAATGAGTGCATTTTGGACATCGTGTTTTATTTTTCAAAATGTGATTGGAAGTTTTCGAGAATTTTGAATGACCTATAAATACAAAGTAACTAAATCATGCTCTCCCTGTTTAACTAACTCGCCCCAACTTATTCTCAGCGACTTTCCAATTTATAGCTATTATTACCTTACAGTTACGACAGCGCACATTGATATTACTTAGTGCCGAACGCTGCCTTCGCAAATTTGAATCAACTACCCGTGAATATTTTTTTTATTTAGTCAGCAAGTGGTATGTATGACTTTATATTGTACTTCAAGTTCGTGTTTTGCTCTTAGAAACGGTTTCGAATCTTTCAAAACTGTTGTTTTTTCGGGGCAAACTTCCTACCTCAGTTTTTCTATTCATATTCTTCTATGTCTGCGTTACTCCCAACTAACGATAGGCGCGTTCTACACACCACTGGCATGTGATTTCGTTTACACTAATTACCACAAAACAATAGTCTACAACAGCCATTGTTACGACATACATCCGTGCGCATACAAATATATAAATTTATGAACATTTTTATTAGTCGCAAAAAAATTGTTTGCTGGACGCATTTTGCCGATCACTGTCTCACAGTTTCACTACAAACGATAACGAATTATTTGTCGGAACGGTTTCTCTTCGTAAAACCCTATTATTAATATTTTCTATGCATCTGCATGACGTAACATCCTTAGTAAACCGCTGCAACCTAGGTCATGCCCCCTCCCAACGCTTATAACATGTTTGTTAGGCTATCGAAGATATAGGGTGTCCATAAGTCCTAAAATATTTTATATTTTGCAAAGGGAGTTCATCGATACTCTCGTCCAGTTAACAGTACCGTGTTGGGTCATATTAGACAGTAGGTTTGGGCAGAGAATCTCGATATATTGTTTTATGTGTAATCTGTGAACGAGGGTAGATTCAACGCTTTTCCCAGATATCCGGTATCATGTGCTTCTCCAATAACTGACTCACTGTTTCAGAACAAGAACGAAGAAACCCAAAAATGATCGAATCAATGTTTATTATTATGTTTGGTTATATACAGAAATCACATGGAGACAGCTATGAATTTATTTATTGAGCAAATACGTTTCAATAGACAAGGCGACCAGTTCAAGGCATGGGTTATACGGTTAATAATAGAATAATAGTAAAGGAACAATGTAAGCAGTGGCAGGATTCAAGAGGCTCTTGCAAACCGTTCCTGTGTTTTTTATGATTTAGTTCAGCATGTTTCTCTAAAATGAGAGAACCCGTTGTTAGCGAGTTCGATGCAACAGAGAACCCGTTCTTAGATTTTTCAATTCTGCCACTGAAAGTGAGTAATAATAAGTAAAAATCAAGTTTCATTTATAATAGGACGAACATACTTGTATGGCCTTTGTCTAATCATATTCACAGGCCGGCTTCAGTGTGGAATAAAAATGCATAAGTAAAAATATCAGTAATTTAACTTTTATAAACACGTAATTTAGACTTCTTTCATAAATAAAATCGGGTTTTAACGGTTTTAAGGCTTGAAAAACAGACTTTGTGAAAAAATGCGATTTAGTAAAATTGAAGAGTAATTTAAGATCAGATCGTTCATGGGCAGCTTATAAATTTTGCATAATCAGACATGGACCTATCATAATTAGAACATTTAGAACAACGGCCATAGAAAAGCGAACAAAAATTTTAATGAAAATCTATATAGATAACAACAGTCATTTAACTGTTTTTGTCTTTTTTATCATTGAATCCGTCAACAAAGTTTTGTCAGGTTTTGATCTGGTTTTATATTTCACAGATGACACCGTAGAATGAGGAGGATGGTGGATTATTGAACATTCCCTGAAATGCATCCTCTGGATCTTTATCGGGACTAACACCAACATTTGTCCACGAAGCTTCGGGTTCCGGATAAGAAGGATACCACACTTCTGTTGCTATAGTGATTGGTCTTCCATTGGACAGCAAAAGCTGATTGTTCTGTCACAATTGAATAAACACTTTCAATATCTATTGCATGCAATGTTAATGCAACTGACATATTAGATGAAGAATGAAAATATTTGCTTGTAGGAATAGTCTCCATAATAAAGGTTGTCAGCATAGATAGACGTATGGTGAGTAATGTTAGCAACATGCGTCATTCTTGTGTTTGGAACTGCATGAAAATGGGTGAAAACCAGAAATCAATGAATTACAAATTCTAAAATGTTTGTAAATTAAAAAGATACGCGATCAGACGGCTAGGCTATGATGTTACAATATATTGTAAACTATATTTCTATATATATATAATTTTTTAATTATCCAATCTTCTAATAAATCATAAGGCAATGTTTGCCCTCCCATTATTCGGTAATTTTATTAAAAAGCGCTTTTGGTCAATCCTCGACCCGGTTAACTTTATAATCTTTATAAAAAGTCAAACTCTGCTGAGATTGTGATCTATCAACTGACCTTATACTCCATCCCAGTCCAGATATTAATCCATGTCCTACCACTAGCAGGAATCAGTGAACGTAGATAAGGGAGCAGCAGCTGGTTATGCTTGAGGTCGTAAATATTCGCGGGTTTTCCGTTCATTGATTTGCAGATTGCTTTGGCATCGGTGAAGGTAACGTTCTGTACATCATACACAATTGCTCGGTAGCATTTTTTCTTGTATGTGACGTCACACTTATCTGAAAACATTATTGTGGTCATTGAATAAATTCATGTTAAAAAATGACACGAAATGACTTCATAGAATTTGGGAATAAAATTTAAACTTGACCACTAAGCAAAATAAGCACGTGCTTACTGCACCATGGGAAAGCGAATCTCCAATGGAAGAAATAGCTCGGGTCAGGTGACTCAAACCGCGATACTCGTCCGATATAAATAAATAATTTTTTTATGTTTTTTTTTGAATGACACAAATAAGGCACCAAGGTCTTAGGTGGTTATGGCCTCGCTGATTGGGTGCGGCTTCCGCTATCATGGATCAATATTCGGGCTTTAGGGCGGAAAGGGCTCATAAATAAACCTAGGCTTACCATACGTCCCGTTTTAGGCTGGACATTCCTACTTTTTAACGTCTTGTCCCGGCCGTTCAGCCAAAGGTCCTGCTTTGGCTTTCAGCTAGCATAATGAGTGGAATATTACCAATTAGCCTGTTTTTGTTACTGTTGTTTTTTTTATTTCGATTAGTTCTTATATTATCCCTATATTCATAAGTGGCTTCATATTTTTGCCCCCGTGGTCGGGGAAGGTTCGAGATAATCAGAATATCTTAACAAAATTTTTAATTTTTACAAATTTGCCAATATTCGAGCCTCAAAAGGTCGCGAAATGTCACCACAATCTATCTACGATGAATATAGTAAAAATAAATTTATAACAAGATTTTGAAATTTTGATTTTCGTTTTACGACTCATGTAAGCACGCTGTTATTACATCCCGTAGAAATCACCAAGCATTTGACTGGCATTGCGGTGGCAGAGGTACTTGTGGTACGATACCAGACCCGAGTTCTCCAGATGCACCGCGAAACGATAGCAACAATGAGCATCAAGAGAGACAACGCTCATACCATGGACGCCATCTTGAGGTAATTTTGCTCTGCCCTATATTAAGGCGTCTTGCGTGGATCAAGAAGTTAGTTTTTCAATAATAATCTATGGTGAACACGTTGATGTCTTATATTCAGCAAATTTATTTAGTGTGTTTGTGATTCATTTTCACATTCAACTCCAAACACGGCGTTTGACAAGGCAAATACTAATACATAAAGATCCCCTTGTCGCAATTTTTCCTGTTTTAGACCTCAGGTGCTGGGGAATTCCAAATTAATATATTTGACGCGAACTAAAAAGCGTTTAGGGGGGAAAATATTTTCCGAGTGAAAAACGAATGAGGGAAAGCCACACCAACCTGTACTCTGTTCAACTTTTGTAGTTTGTGGGCGAAAAGTAGAGAAAAAGGCTTCCTTAGTTGACCAAGGTGATGTGCCAATGGCGGTTGAAGCGCTGGTAGAAGAAGTTGTCTTGTCTTTGTATCCTGTGTGAAAAAAATGAGTTTATATTACAAGTTTACAGCAAGATTTATAGTTCTGGGTACTTTAAGGTACTAAATGGCAATGTGAATATATTTCAATTTTTTTCTATTTCAGTTTCTTCGCACAATCGCCGTATTGCCAATTACTATGACTGAAATGGACTATTTTAGTATCTATTCTAGTGCATGTGATACCAAATAACATCATTAAAACTTCATACCATGGGGAGTGGTCGTTTCTTTGACACCTACAACAGATTTTGTGGTCGCTTCTTTAAGACCTACAACAGAGGGCGTGGTCGTTTCTTTGACACTTGCAACAGAGGGCGTGGTCGTTTCTTTGACACTTGCAACAGAGGGCGTGGTCGCTTTCTTTGACACTTGCAACAGAGGACAGCACTGAGTTTGTCTCTGATTTTCCATTGTCTTTTTTAACTGATGGAGCTCACTTTCATTCCGTGTAATTGTTCCGTTAAGGCTGCGAAACGAAATCAGAATTTAATTTGAGCCATCAGTTTTACAGTCCGAATTCGGTGAATTTGTTGTTAGAAGATATGTACCGCTCTCTCCCGTTAAAAATAAGAATATGAGATGGGTATTGCTAAACTCCACGTTAGATGTGATTGTTAAAAAATGACGCATTAAAGATATAAAATGATTTGAATTTTACCAATAAAACGATTGTTTAACAAACGTATTTCGAATTATATTGTAGACGCTAACCTTCCAAAGCCTTCTCTTCGTCTTTTGTGCACTGTCCATTCTGAAATAGAACAAGAGAAATGTTTGAATATATGGATATGTAGGTTGCACATCCGTGTAGTATTGCCCTAGCTAAGCAAGTCTTTCCATATGCCGTAAAAAAGTGTTCCCATGGATTAAAGTGAAAACGTAGAATCTGGGATAAAGTATCGGGTCCCATCGAACTCAGTGTTAGTTTCAAACTTCCATTACTTACAGAAAAAATCGCTAGAACGTTGTATTTTCTTATATTTGTTCCCGATTTCAAACAAAACAGTTTTATTTTCACAAATAATAGCAGCAATATAAAACTACCACTAAGCACTACCACTCTCACCTTAACGTCTCTCCAAGTAGGTTGCCCGTCGCAAACCATAGGCATCCAGCATTTCTCACCTGTTATTAGGAGAAAATTGAAATTAGAAATCGATCGAAATGTTCCTTTATAATATGTTTATTTTAAAATAGTTTTAAAACAGATAAACAAAAAGTGTGTTAATAAACTTTTTTCACAACGAGACAAATTCAGAACCTATCCACTTATGGCGCGCATTCGCTCATTCCATACTAAATTTTATACTTTTACACATGTCATTCGAACGCTCTATTTTTTTACTTCTCGATGATGATTGGTCGAATCAAATTTAAATTATTACGCCCGCCATTGGGGAACCTAACAATGTTTAGCGGGCATGGGCTAATTGCTGACCGATACCCGCAATTAAGTTTCCGGTTTTTGAGAATCGTTTCAATTTTTTTGACGAACAATAAACTCTTGAAAGTTGAATTTCCCATAGTTTGCTGCTTTTGTTTATAATGAAATAAAAACAAGAAAGATCATAAAAATATTTGTACGGGATGGCAGGATAACCGCGAAATGACCATTCGGTCTACTTGTCAGCGGCAACCTTAAAATAATTCAAAACTTATGGCTACAAAATTTGCACAGCGGGAAACATTTTTATGCACGAACATCGTCCCAAGATGACGCTTCACCAATTGGCCACCACGCCCGCTTATCTATGAGAGATTTTTTCCTTCTGGACATTTGAGTGTATATGACGATATTTAAAATTTTAGGTTTAAAAACCAAATCAAATGAGGTGATGCTCGCATCGGAGATTTCAAAACCAAAAGCGTTGTATAGTTTTACATCGTTATGAGAGAAGAGCCATTTACTAAGATCTACCGCCATTGTGGGATTAAGACGATAAGAGGCCCTAGCCTGTGCCATTTGTGAGATTTCTCTTGAACAATGACGTAATAAAGAATATATTATGACATCAAAAATTAATTGACTATTATCTACTTTTAAACCGGTTTTATTCTAGAACTATCTTTTACGATTTAAAAACGACTTAAAAATGGCTGAAAACAGTTTAAAATTAAATGCCGGGTCCCTAAGATTGAGGCACCTAGGCTTCAAATTACTTTGCCTGGTAAATCAAACGTTTTCTACAGTACAGAAACTCACCCAATACTTGGCAAAATGAACGAGGTATTCAGAGAATAAGATATCGGATAAAAAAAAATTTTCCTAATCAAATGTAGGTTTAACCTTTATCGAGAGACCGAGGTTCGCCATACTATTACACCGTCATACCGACATCCTCTACGCCGGAATAAATAAATATTCCTTCTGATACAAATATACCGGGCGCAACCCGAGAAAACAGCTTCAAAATTCGCCGAAAGAATTGTTTCGATTCACAATTAAGTTGTGTCGCCTTTAGTAGCTGAAACGTTCATTTACGAATATAATTATGAGATATATGGTAAAATTTGTTAAATTGGACAAATAATGTTTTTTTTCATCTTCTTTGTACAATTTTTTTTTGACGTGGTTCAGAAAAAATATTGAAATTTATAAAATAACGTCATCAATACACTAAGGACGAAAATTATTAGATTTCTGAATTCTATACTTATAAAAGATTCATGCTGTTCAAATATCAATGGCCTGATTTTTTTAGGGGCTTTATATAATTTTTGAATAGCCAATTTATTGCCACTAATTTTCATATTTGAATATCGCTGGTGAGGTTTTAAATTTTTTTTTTTTTTTTGTAAAATAAGCAAATATTACTAGCCGATTGAAAAAACAGCGCTAACACTATAGAATTTGGCCCAAAAATTTATTCAATGTTCAGCTTCCATAAGAATAGCTCAAATATCCTGCCTGATTTACTGGGGAAAACTTCTACTTGATGTCAGAATTAACTCACCAGCTGGGGATCAAATAACCAAAAAATTTATTTAGAATATGCTCCATCCCTCCCCCCCCCCCCCAGCCTATCTTCAAAAAATAAAAATAACAGGCAAACAAGCAAACCGAACAAAGCATGCACGATTATACTGACCTTTAATGAATAAACAAGCTTCCATCAACAGTATTAGTCCGATAAAACTGTGTCGAATCGGAATCTTCATTTCGAATCCAAGGATTTCGTCAATTTCGCTTCGATGAAAATAAATTTTCGAACAGCAAAGTTTAGAATGAAGCTTCAGTCTATTCACATCGGAATATATCCTATGCAAGCTGACTCACTACTCTGAAGCGGGAAGAGAAATTGTTCTCTCTCTTTCAAATTTTAGGATACGTGTTGCGTCACAAAAGAGAGTTTGGGCTGCTCTTTCTATCTTTATGAAACGACGTCGTCGATACCACACCCGTGAGTAATATTCGGTGAATTTCAGATACATTTTCTGACGGATTTCGCTCTCCCAGTTTCGGTAGATAAAGATATACTAAATGAAAATTAAGGATAAGGAATGATTTGAATTTCCAGCGCAATCTGCATTCCTAGCCCTCACTCTTACTGGATAATTATTATTTGTTGGGCGGTGGCGGATGAGTTTTTTTCTGTCAAGGGCTTTGTACAAAATATCCCGATTCATTAGAAAGAGTCGAATTAACAAAACTAAAATATCCTTTCCAAGATAGTGGCGTTTGCTAGCCTTGCTTAAGTAACTGTAGGTGTCAAAATTCTGATGCTACTGGTCTTGAAAGTTCCACCCCTTGCAGCTGGGATAACAGTTTTTAGCGGCCCACCAGTCGAATATAGTATTTCGGACGTCGAATATAGAATTTTGGACGTCGAATATAAGTTTTCGGATGTAGAAGATAGGTGTTGTACGTCGAATATAGGTTTTTGGACGTCGAATACAATAGTACCTGAAGTAGTGCACCTGATGTGCACCAAGATGGCGCACAACTTTAACATAGTGTGTGTACCAAGTAAGGGTTATCAGGTTGTGCGCCATCTTGGTGCACATACTACAGGAACGCCCACAAATGTATGGATTAGTTAACGCTACTCTCAAAATCAGTATCAGTACGGGCTAAGTCTCCTAACCCAGTGCGCCATATGTATAGAAAAAGCCCTAGTCTCGCCTTGTCCTTATTCGGCGTTGCGTTGATTTCATATATGGGTGAGCGATACGAGTCGCTGTTCAGTTGATCACAACATTCCATGGCCGTGTGTTAGTGAGCTGAATTTATATTTGTGCCACAGTTAAACTTAGATAAATCAATTAGATTGTCTTCAAAATGAATGTATAGAGCTTTGGTCCAGGCCTAGCACTAGATAACATTTATCAAATATGTCGATGTAAGTATAGTATAGCACAGGGTGGTCCAAGATTGGCAGCTCCGCGGGCCACAAAATTACTTTTGCATTGTTCGCGGGCCACAATAGTGCCAAGAACTTCGCTCGTTTAACTTCGCTAGTTGCCTCAGCAAGCCACAACACTAGTCAAATCAGTGACATTAGTTATGCAACAATATGTCGATATGTCAATATGCCACAGATAATGAAGCGGTGGGCCACATGTGGCCCGCGGGCCTGGGTTTGGACCACCCTGGTATAGTATATAGCGCTGAGAACCACTCAATATTATCAAAAATTTCTGTGCAATACCCGCTATCGTTCGTCTAAATGCCCGCTGTATCGTTCATGAGTAACACCATGATTTAAAAGTAACGCATTACCAAAACACTTTCGTGATTATACGAGATGGTTATCGTTTAAAAAATCGCGGAAGCTCACGTCAATCATTTCTTTGTGTTCAAACAGCCCAACGCAAATTTAACGCTATCTGTATTCAAATATATCTGTAAGACATTCTGATTATAATTTTACTCGAAACCCTCACTATATTTTCCAAACACTAACATATCATACGTATAAATGCATCGAAATACCGGGATTTATGGACATAAAAAAGTTGGGTTTTGCCATGGGGGGTTGAATTTTATTTTAAATTCGCAAAGAGGTAAATTAAGGAATAAAGGCTGGAAACTTTTTCTATAAAATTCCGATAACAGCAAACAAAGGCGAGATAGATGGCTGCTTTATTTGCATAGTTATTTTGTTGGCAATGGTTAAAATGTGAAAATCGGATGCCAGGGTTATGCTAGTTCAAAACGGCAAAAAATTTTAAATTTTGATTTCTCGAAACCAATGGTGTAATGACGTAAATCGTGCAGTGATCGTTTAAATTTTTCGATTGAAATTAATTTGAAATAATTTATGTCGGTTACTCAATGTTGAATCAGGCAATGATCACACACTCGGGGGTTAGAAATGTCAGCGAATATGAGTTATGCCGAGTTATGATGAAACGTGGTCATTCCCTGACCCTGTCCGCCAACCCCCCCGAACGAACGTTTTCATTCTTTTTTAAATATTTACCATGAGCCAAAAAATTGACGATATTTTTGGTACTATGATTTTAAATTTAATTAGCTTAGTGACGAATCAAGCAGGGCGGTCATATTGTTTCAGACAACATTTTTATAAAAAATCTACCTCGTGTAGGAATTGTCGCGTCACAATTCCCACTTTGACTGCAAATGGTTCCATGCGACCTTTTCTTATAGCAGAGGTAGATTAAAGGGAGAATTGAAAGTCAAAATACTATAAAAACCCAACATAATTAGAATTAAATTATATTTTGTTTTATGAATATCTTGCAAACCAAACATTGGGAAAATCTTTTCTCGTTTTAGTCAAAATCGTGGCGTTTGCTAGCTTTGCTTAAACAACTGACGGTGTCGAAAGTCTGAATCTTCTGGTCTTGGAATTCTATTCCTAAAAACTCGAACAGTTTAGCGGCCCTAGAGTCGATATACAAGATTTCGGACGTCGAATATAGTATTTTGGACGTCGAACACAGGATTTTAGACGTCCAATATAGGATTTCGGTTATTAGAACGTCGAATTTTTGATTACAAACGTCGAATATAGGATTTCGGATTTCGAACTTCGAATTTTTAATTTCAAACGTCGAATATAGGATTTCGGTGTTTAGAATGTCGAATTTTTGAATTCAAGCGTTCTGTCAAGGGCTTTGTACAAAATATCCCGATTCATTAGAAAGAGTCGAATTAACAAAACTAAAATATCCTTTCCAAGATAGTGGCGTTTGCTAGCCTTGCTTAAGTAACTGTAGGTGTCAAAATTCTGATGCTACTGGTCTTGAAAGTTTCACCCCTTGCAGCTGGGATAACAGTTTTTAGCGGCCCACCAGTCGAATATAGTATTTCGGACGTCGAATATAGAAGTTTGGACGTCGAATATAAGTTTTCGGATGTAGAAGATAGGTGTTGTACGTCGAATATAGGTTTTTGGACGTCGAATACAATAGTACCTGAAGTAGTGCACCTGATGTGCACCAAGATGGCGCACAACCTTAACATAGTGTGTGTACCAAGTTAGGGTGATCAGGTTGTGCGCCATCTTGGTGCACATACTACAGGAGCGCCCACAAATGTATGGATTAGTTAACGCTACTCTCAAAATCAGTATCAGTACGGGCTAAGTCTTCTAACCCAGTGCGCCTTATGTATAGAAAAAGCCCTAGTCTCGCCTTGTCCTTATTCGGCGTTGCGTTGATTTCATATATGGGTGAGCGATACGAGTCGCTGTTCAGTTGATCACAACATTCCATGGCTGTGTGTTAGTGAGCTGAATTTATATTTGTGCAACAATTAAACATAGATAAATCAATTAGATTGGCTTCACAATGAATGTATAAAGATTTTGTTCAGGCCTGGAACTCGATAACATTTATCAAATATGCCGATGTAGGCATAGTATAGCATATGGCGCTGAGAACCACTCAATATTATCAAAAATTTCTGTGCAATTCCTCCTATCGTTAGACTAATTTTCCAATGTATCGTTCATGAGTAACACCATGATTTTAAAATACCGCATTTCCAAAACACATTCGTTATTATACCAGATGGTTATCGTTTAAAAAAATCGCGGAAGCTCATGTCAATTATTTACTTTCTGTTCAAACAGCCCAACGCAAATTTAACGCTATCTGTATTTAAATATATCTGTAAGACATTCTGATTATAATTTTACTCGAATCCCTCACTATATTTTCCAAACACTGACATATCATACGTATTAATGCATTGAAATATCGGGATTTATGGACATAAAAAAGTTGAGTTTTGCCATGGGGGTTGAATTTTATTTTAAATTCGCAAAGAGGTAAATTAAGGAATAAAGGCTGGAAACTTTTTCTATAAAATTCCGATAACAGCAAACAAAGACGAGATAGATGACTGCTTTATTTGCATTGCTATTTTGTTGGCAATGGTTGAAATGTGAAAATCGGATGCCAGGGTTATGCTAGTTCAAAACGGCAAAAAATTTTAAATTTTGATTCCTCGAAACCAATGGTGTGTAATGACGTAGATCGTGTAGTGATCGTTTAAATTTTTTGATTGAAATTCATTTGAAATTTTTTTATGTGTGTTACTCACTGTTGAATCAGACAATGATCACACACTCGGCAGTTAGAAATGTCAGCGATTATGAGTTATGTCGAGTTATGATGAAACGTGGTCTTTCTCTGACCCTGTCCGCCCCCCAACGTTTTCATTCTTCTTTAAATATTTACCATAAGCCAAAAAATTCCCGGATATTTTTGGTACTATGATTTTATATTTAATTAGCTTTGTGACGAATCAAACAGGAATGTCATATTGTTTCAGACAACATTTTTATAAAAAATCTACCTCGTGTAGGAATTGTCGCGTCACGATTCCCATTTTGACTGCAAATGGTTACATGCGACCTTTTCTTATAGCAGAGGTGAATTAAAGGGAGAATTGAAAGTCAAAATACTATAAAAACCCAACATAATTCGAATTAAATTATATTTTGTTTTATGAATATCTCGCAAACCAAACATTGGGAAAATCTTTTTTCATTTTAGCCATGATCGTGGCGTTTGCTAGCTTTGCTTAAATAACTGTTGGTGTCGAAAGTCTAGTAGCAGATGTCACGTGGCCTTATTTAGCGCTAGGTGCGTTGATTTCATATATGGGCGAGCGATATTAGTCGCATATGTCTGTTTAGTTTAACAGAACATTCTATGGTCGTGTGTTGCTGTGCTGAATTTATGTTTGTGTCACAGTCAAACTAGGATTATTAAATTAGATTGGCTCCGTGAAGAATGTATATGGCTTTGGTCGGGGCTGGCACTAGATCCGAGTTATTGAATATGCCGATGTAGGTAGAGTATAGCCTATGGCGCTGTGAACCACTCAATATTTGCAAAAATTTATGTGCAATTCCCGCTATCGT